ACTGGTGCTAACGAAGTTCCACCCATGATCACCAACTCTCGGTTTCAAGAACGGACTAGCGGTGTCCGTGCGCGTATTTCTCTTCGAAACCAATCTTCAGCTTCTCACGGTGCAGAAAATGTCCACGTTCGTCTTCTGGGTTGTATCGTCATATGGGCAATAACGTTTCGGTAGAATATATTGCCTCCATCTTCAGGAATGAAATTCTACGTCACAACCCAGGTCACAGTGGACGGTGGAGACTCTGGTAGCTAGAAATGCAGAGTCTGTGGAGGTACCCAAGGCATGGTCTGGCGATCGGTTTTGTGTTGGTCCATGTGTCAAGAACCTGGCTTCAGCAGTCGTGAATGCGTTATCACATTAAATTTTAGTTTAAAAAGAAATTGTACAAACTTTGCACTTTCAAAACGATTACGCTGAAATAAACTGCATTACGTTGGACAGAAAAACCTTTCATTCCCGATAACTTCGACTGGTCATACGCTGATGATGTCAAAATTACAACACAAATCTCATGTGGGTTTGAACCCTGGACATCGCGGTGAGCAGCAGGCGACTGGCAGCCTCTAAACATCGCGGATAGCGGACAAACTTCGATGATAGGACGTGGACCCTGAGATGTAGCCGTCCGAGGATTTGAGGTAGTAATTATCTGGGCCTGCAGCTAAACGCTGACTGAGCGTACAGATCACGTATAACGAACGTTCTACCAGGTTCGTACTTAATAGCTACGTAATAACGAAGGTGGCATTTTAGGCAACACGAGAACGTATCTAAAGAGAATTATCTTTTGAAACAGTTGAATTTTTAATAGCGCTCGTGTTCCATGCATCTCAAATGCCCTCTCCCAAATTACAGCTTTTATTCGGCATAAAAGCACGGCACTGTAGCAGCTAATTCACTACGTCGTACAGTGTAATCCAAATGTTATTGGCCCAACGGTAAAACTTTCCGAAAACACGACGCAGACTAAAGGAAATCCTGTCCTTACAGGAAAATATTCTATGGTCCCTCGACGCAGAGTTAAAACCAATGAAAGATTGATTACATCTAATAAACAAAAGAGGACCCAACTATCGCCCTTTTGACAAACATTCCACGTTGGCCTTCCTTTGACCTCCGACCCAACTGCAGTACAATACAGGCCACGACTTATTCCTTCCCAGTCCCTTCCAATTTATTGTACATCGTTAACCTTACGCCAACAAATAACCTTGCAGCCTAAAAATGGACCTTAAATATTTAAATGTTAATAATAGTAATATTTTAATATTTAATAGGAATTTTATTGTGATTATACTGACAAGATTTAAACAAATATGGACATTAAATGTCTGACAACGAACAACTAAATAATGCTACTATCTTATTATTGATCCTGATTAATAAACTTAAAAGGCACGATAAAATCATGGGAAGAAAATCATCATCATCATCATCTCTTAATTCGAACCCCGTGTTTACTGGTACGACCTTGTTTCAAGATACACAAAACGGCCTTGGACATATTTCCAAGTTTGCTTACATACGCATTTTCAATTTTTGTTTCCCTGTTGTGGAGAACAGAAAATTCTACTCGTGCAGTCACCGAAGTGTGAAAATATGTTTCCCCGACCCACGTCCCGTACCTAAAACCGGTCTCGAGTTCGCAACCGATAAAACAGCCTGGTAACACGCACAGTTGTCAAGCCGGAGACCGCATCCGACCCCACAGATAGAACAGCCGCGAACTCTAAAGCAAGAACGAATTCTGGTTAACACACAAATTTTCAAAATATGCCCTTTGCTATTTCTCATGCTTCAACGGCCTTACTCCACACAGAACTACAAACAAACGAACGTACCCGTAACAGCTACGACAAATTTCAAGCACAGATTACTTTGCTTTCCCGCGTTTATCGAAAACGCGTAAAACGGAAACCGTACGATTGACACACCATGAGAGGCCTTAATTTGCAGTTACCGTCGTCAAAAACAGAGGGGCGAAGTCAGTGGACGCTGGAATAAAACCGCGGATATGCAAAACCTCGTATAACGAGAATCGCCTATACCAACTTGAAACAAAATAAAATGACGTAAAATCTGCAGCGCTCACTTTTGCCACGATATCGAAAATTTATTGACAATGATGGCATAGTTCTAGAATTGTATTTGACAAAAACGGGGTCGAATCTCGACCGGGCAGGCATTTTATCACTGTGTTCTTGGTTTACTTCAGTCTCTCCACGCGAATACCGAAATATCTTAGCGAGCCACAACTGCGTTCTTTGCATTATATACTGGTCTAGCGGTTAGAACGCTGGCCTTGTAATCCAGGGGTCTCGGGTTCGATGCCCGGCGGTGCCCGAATTTATAACTTGAGTTGGGCGAGGCCGTGGTCTAGGCAACACGGAGTTTGCCTCCGGGGCATCCCAACAATTACTCTATTCACACACAGAAGAAGGCAATGGCAAACCACTTCAGGATCATCTGCCAAGAACGTATATGAACAGGTTCCAGTCCGAGAAAAGGATGGAAGGATCCTGTTCATATGGACCTGTCGTCAGACCGAACACTAAATAATAATAATAAGATGAGGTGGTCCAGCGGTTAGAACGCTGGCCTTGTAATCCAGGGGTCTCGGGTTCGATGCCCGGCGGTGCCCGAATTTATAACTTGAGTTGGGCGAGGCCGTGGTCTAGGCAACACGGAGTTTGCCTCCGGGGCATCCCAACAATTACTCTATTCACACACAGAAGAAGGCAATGGCAAACCACTTCAGGATCATCTGCCAAGAACGTATATGAACAGGTTCCAGTCCGAGAAAAGGATGGAAGGATCCTGTTCATATGGACCTGTCGTCAGACCGAACACTAAATAATAATAATAAGATGAGGTGGTCCAGCGGTTAGAACGCTGGCCTTGTAATCCAGGGGTCTCGGGTTCGATGCCCGGCGGTGCCCGAATTTATAACTTGAGTTGGGCGAGGCCGTGGTCTAGGCAACACGGAGTTTGCCTCCGGGGCATCCCAACAATTACTCTATTCACACACAGAAGAAGGCAATGGCAAACCACTTCAGGATCATCTGCCAAGAACGTATATGAACAGGTTCCAGTCCGAGAAAAGGATGGAAGGATCCTGTTCATATGGACCTGTCGTCAGACAGAACACTAAATAAATAAATAAATAAACATATACAGAGTGCCCACAAAAGATAAATACACTGTTGAGGTAGTCGATCTCTGAGCTGACAATTGAATCCAGGACCTTCCAGACACGAAGCATGAGTGCCAACCTATGTCGCGACCATACAAAATTATAGTTTTGTTAGTAAACACATTCTTAAGTTATTTCAACTGGTATGGAAAAGTAACCACACGACTTCAATCCAATAAATAACCTTCGTAAAGCTACTCAGCCCGCACAATCACTCCATAACTCCGAAAGCAGTTACAGAGTCTCCGCTAAACATAAAATCCTACTGCCGACTGTTTAAAATTTTTCATCTGTAAAATTCGACCTAGGGCTCCCTTTTCGCATCCCCGGGTATAAGTATTGATATATGCCAATTAACGTGTCTTAAAACAGGCCACGACTTCAGACACTTTTTTAATTTTTGGACGATCCCCCGTAAGGCTGAGGTAAAAATTTGTTTTTATTTTTAAGAAACTGCACCGAAAGTAACCTACCTATATTCTTGAGAAAATAAGTGCCTTTTTAAAATTTAAGAGATAATTTCCAAAAGGCAGACCACCACCGAAACTTCCAAGTTTTTAAACGTCTTCATTTCCCTCTTAGCGTAAGACCTCACGAAGACAAACGCCTCTTAATGACTTATCGTTGTGGTGTTCCTTTCGTGTACAAAATCTAAAAGAAGGATAACAAACACGTAAGAAAACAAGCTGTTAACACGAAAGGAAAATATTCAAGGAAATTAACACTCGGCACAAAGTACCTACTTCTCATTTCCAAGGTCCATCAATTATATACAGACGTGAACTTTGCACGCGAGGATACGAACGGAATGAATACGGCGTACCTGTCGAGAGGCCTCTGTTACCGTCAAGAGCAGCTGTCGAATGATACTGAAAAGTCTGGGTGAAATACCTATCTCGACGCAATTTCATCGACCACAAATCTCATATAGACATCCCTGGTAGCGACTCTTGCTTGCAAAGCTGAGCGAAAAGATTTCAAATAATAAAGAATATTCCATATGTGAAGTGGATGATTCTTCAGCACACGTAAGAGTTAAGCTCGGACTGAGGCCTCTTACCTGTAACCTCCAGTGACACGGAATGACGAGTTGCTCACCTGATACGGTGTGGTCCAGCGAAGGGCGTGACTAGTTTCGACGGAGTCACAGCTGTTTGAAACCCGGTGCAATGGCGGCACGAACAGTTAGACATCCACCACTGGTTCAACACAACGTTGAAGCAGTGGTGGATCCCTGCACTACACTACACTATTATCACTACCAAGTACGTAGTTACACATAACACTACTAATAAAATTAGTAAGTCTCTTTGCATCGTGTGAACACTCAGGAAGAGTACAGAATGGGTTGAGTAGTAATTGATGCATATGGCACAAAGTTTTGTACGAACAGAAATGCCACGTGCATGTTGAAAAGAGCAATTGTAAGCAAAGGGTTTAGGAAGGATTAATTACGTTTTAATCATCTTTGTTAAAAAAACTGTCACAGAAGGATTCTGTGATTTTTGGAGATCGTACATCGAATCTCTGCAGATCGAAAGCTCATCTTGATCCCAGAATTTCTTTTACCTTTAAAAGATAAAAGAAATCTTGTCAGAATTTGATGCTTTCAATAACCATTTCGACTATTTTCCGGTTGTAAGAATCAAGGTGAAGATATTTAACCACTGCTCCTTAATAGCAATTAACACGTTACACTCATGTTAGTAAACATTATTACAATATGGCTCTGATGATAAGGTGTTCCTTAATAAACTACCCTAAAACATATTAAAACAGTGTACAGGCATTTCAACCCACTTACTTTTTCCTTTGACGAACTCAGAAGATTTGTCTGCAAGGACTGCAGTTGATGCCAACAGGACCAGCACCAGCCAATTGTTGCGGATTGCCGCAGTCATTGTCGCCACACCTTAACAGCGCGTTACTCTGTCCGCCACACAGCACACAAGCATCGAACATTCAGCAACGCCAACAAATTAATTAAAATCAACACATGCACAAACGTAAAACCATGCAGCTAGCGTATGAATCGTTCTCAGACCAAGTCACATCGCTGAGGTTACACGCGTTGGCGATAAGACGTATCCCGTCAAACAACCGCCAGGCCCTCGGTTCGACGCCACTACGTGGTCATGGTCGGACCGCGCTGACGAGGGCTGAACGGTCGCGTTCCTAGGGGCGGACCAACAACCCTGGTGATACTGTAGCCGATGACACAGCACGGGTCCTTCCGTGGCCATTCTAGAGCGTACTGAGTAGAATCTTCGCCCTGGTGTCGTATGTCACTGGGCTGGGTTTGCGCAATGTACCAAATATGTAGGATTGTGTTGGTATCCACTGAACTACGAATGGATTCTCCGGTGGTCTGGCCCCATGACGATGGCCCAAGGGTCTGGGCGACGAACAGCTGCAGGAACTCCACTCTGCAAGCAAGTAGAATAACCACTGGTCAGCTACAACACACAGCCTTGCTGTAGGCGCTCGAAGAAATCCGCCTGCTTAGCGCCTTTCGTACTGACGTTAATATCAAGGTAGTGAGAACAGGACGGAGACAAGATCCCAGCCTCCGGCAAGGAGCTACCTGCCAGGTGAGAAGGTGGGAGAAAGCTCGTGAGAAGAGGAAGGGATAGAAAATAAAGACCCTCGCGGGGAAAAAGGGCACATGGGTACAAGAAGAACTCTACCTTCAAGTATAAACAGTTACCTGAGGGCCGATATTCATTACGTTAAACACTGTAACATTATCAGTTCGTGTGAGGTTGTAATTATGTGCCTGGCAGAATCTGATTTGCCACGACGAAGACAATTTACAATTAAGGTTTCTAGACCTCGCCTGTAAATATTAGTTTATCTGTTACAAAGCAGTTCCCTACCCAACAGCCACAAGAATTCAGTCAGCACCTCCACACCAGACTTCATGGGGGTACGTCCTGATACCGTCCTTCCATCTACACCCACGTATTTCGACAGAGGTCTCCCATCATGTCTCAACATCAGACTGGACCTTGATTGCATAATGGCCTAAATGCAAATGGGTCTACGAATGTCGAGTGCAGATATACCCGTTTTACACTGAGGCCCTGGCATTTCTCTCTCTCTACGCGTGTCCAGTCGCCCAATCAGCAAGCAGAGAGGCGGCCAATCGGACGAAGTCTATCCACACCTCGACCAAGGCGCGAATCTTTTTAAGAACAAGTTTTCGAATCATCAACAATGTTTCACTAAACGAATTGGTGATAGGGAGGTCAGACAGGTGTTTGAGTGCGGTGGGGAGGGAGGATCTGTTAGGAGCATCATTACATCGGTCAGGTAACGGGGCGGCGGTGGTGGAAGGGGGGGGGGCTCTGAGGTGAGATACGTAAGGGATGCTGCAACGCATCTTGACCTTGCTGGGCTGGACACGGGAATGTAGTCAAGGTCGTTCTGCGGACAATTGCCCTCATTTTATGGATTGAGCTCTTGCCTGTTCTCTCGGGTTTGAAAGAATGCGAACACCAGGGCGGAAGGACGAACGGTCAGAACAACTCTTAAGGAATTGATGTACTGTAAAAACCGCCATGATATGAAACAAGATTTCTCGCTCAGAAAGACCAGCTTTTTCGCTGGTAGCTCCATGCAAGAAGCCACGGTGGTCTAGCGGTTAGAACGCTGGCCTTGTAATCCTGGGGGTCTCGGGTTCGATTCCCGGCGGTGCCCGAATTTTTAACTTGTGTTGGGCAAGGCCGTGGCCTAGGCAACACGGAGTTTTCCTCATTGGCATCCCAACAATTACTCCATTCACACAGAAGAAGGCAATGGCAAACCGCTTCTGGATCATCTGCCAAGAACGTATATGAACAGGTCCCAGTCCGAGAAAAGGATGGAAGGATCCTGTTCATATGGACCTGTCGTCAGACAGAACACTAAATAAATAAATAAGCTCCATGCACCGCCCGCATTAACCTTCATCGGCTTACATATCGCTCGCAGATTTTATTTATAGGTTCAATTCTGGTGTCCAGATCAAAGGATAAAATATATTATGAAGATCATGATCGTTATTTGTAACAGCCCTGAGACGCGTTATCTTCGAGGTAGACGCAGCGTCCTTCAACATACAGACCAGTTTTCTCCATTACAGGCTCAATACATCTATTGGAGAGTCCTACTAAGCAAGTCATAACGTAACTTACATAGAACAAAATAAAAATCAGCATGTGAACGAATATAAAGTTGAAATTACAGCCGTGGTTCAATCGTAACACCACAAATGTTTATAGGGGACGTGGAGGCAAGGCTCCACGTAGTGTAGCGCCCCGGCCGACTTGGCCCTGCGAAAAGACCACCTCCCTCCCTCAAGCAAGCACAGAACAGGAGGCTGCAAGAGGCCCCATAACCGGTCTTTATATGGTGAAAGAAATCCTGCCTGCCACGGGAATCGAACTCCGGACAGCCATGCCGGCAGCAAGTCACTCACTAATGGCACGGCTATTCCGCGTGGGGAAATAGTTCTTTCGTGAAGAAGGGAGACGAGAAACTAGACGGGGCAGACGTATCCAAAGACAAGTAATGGGAAATAAGCTGAAATATAACAACGCAATCCGAATACCTTTCATAATTAACATAATAACATTACAGGAGCCATGACTTGTGAAGTGTAAAAATAAATATCAGATCTGTACACTATTTGGAGGTCAAGTCTGTTTTCTGAGTGTGCGAGGACAACGGCTTTGAGGATTCAAGCACAGAGCTGCCGGTATGTGACAGATATTCCGTACTGACAGTAATTCAGAGCTCTGTCTAAGTCACGGTTACCCATCTGCACACCACAGACATTCTCTACTGACAGTTATACTCGCATATGTCTGAATTTCACAAGTACTGACACTCTGATGTAAATCTTTGTACCTCAGACACTGACAGTAAAGCTGGTATACGAGGTGCGATCGGAGATTTTCCAGACTGCGCCTATAAAAACCCGTACACTTATCTCAGGTATTAAATTCATCCATCACCCTCGAAGTAGTTCCCCTGGGAGTGAACACAACGATCCCAGATGGTGCTTGACAGGCTGACAAAGAAAGATTTCCAGGGATGCTTCCAGGCTTGGCAGCGGCGCTGGGATCGTTGTGTTCACTCCCAGGGGAACTACTTCGAGGGTGATGGATGAATTTAATACCTGAGATAAGTGTACGGGTTTTTATACGCGCAGTCCTGAAACTTTCCGATCGCACCTCGTATCACTGTGTGTAGTACAGCGTAGCGTAGTGTAGTGCTGGCTTACACCACACTTGGAAATGGTTTTACATGCATGTAATTGAAGACAGACTATTCTTTTAAACAGTTTACATTTTATGTTTTGTTCTACTTGTTTGCGCACTTGGCCCATTTTCGGGAAAAGGTTTCCGTAGCCGTTTTGGCGAGTCTTTGGCAAGAGATTCAGGCAGAATCGCAGATGGTGCTTGACAGGCTGACAAAGAAAGATTTCCAGGGATGCTTTCAGGCTTGGCAGCGGCGCTGGGATCGTTGTGTTCACTCCCAGGGGAACTACTTCGAGGGTGATGGATGAATTTAATATCTGAGATAAGTGTACGGGTTTTTATACGCGCAGTCTTGAAACTTTCCGATCGCACCTCGTACTCACATACACATCAAATACCCATTAGATAACTTGCTGTGAACTTTAAAACGACATTGCTAACTCAGGCACAAGAGCTCCTTGGCGATGCAATGCCAGCAACCATGAAACGTTTAACCAAAAGCACGGTCGTACTTTCGTGGTATATAAAATTACACTTGTAAAAATTATTACCCTGAGTGCCTGGCTGAAATAACTTGCAGTGAAATGTTCTATGTGTTTATCTTATTTTCTTCTCAGAGAAGAATGTCGCTTGGGAACAGTTGCTACAGCAACCAGTCACCAGATGGCTCACTGAGATATTTGCGTGATTGTGTATCTGCATGCATTTCTCTTCTTTTGTGCAAAAGAATTTCATTTCTTCATTCTGGTACCTGTATGACTGTCCAGGCGCGTATATAAATGTTTTTAAAAATCGCGTTTGAAACAAAACAAATATATAAATTGTCTGTAAAATGCAGAGATTACTAACACTAGCATGTCCTTGATGTGCCGTTGAGACGTAGAAACACAAACATTTTCTCATTACAGTATCAGAACAAGATTGAGAATTCTAGGAACGCTACGTTCATTCTCTGAAAAATTCCAGTGGTTAATGTTTATGGACAAAACAAAGGTCAGCGTGGCCCATAATAAATGCGGTTCGTTCCACTAGATTTAATTGCTGGACGTACTACGTAAAAACTAGTTCCTGCTTAGTTGAAGCCATATGTAGTATCTTTATACATCCACCGATCAAATTTGAGTAGATTGAGTTTCAGAATCACAGAGGACAGAGTCAAATACTGTGTGGTTCATTACTAAGTAGTGTCTGGCAAATACATTTGCTGTTATTTAAGTACTACATTATCATGTCTCTCAAACCATGTGCTGTTTTCAAATTCCAAGCTAGATTGTTTGCCAAATACGTCATGGAGATGCTCTTGAAATTATCGCGTTCAGGTTACAGTTGCATCAATAATAATCATTACTAACACGTCAGCCACGGTGGTCTAGCGGTTAGAACGCTGGCCTTGTAATCCTGGGGGTCTCGGGTTCGATTCCCGGCGGTGCCCGAATTTATAACTTGTGTTGGGCAAGGCCGTGGTCTAGGCAACACGGAGTTTTCCTCCGGGGGCTTCCCCGGTTTCTCCGTGGCATCCCAACAATTACTCCATTCACACACAGAAGAAGGCAATGGCAAACCACTTCTGGATCATCTGCCAAGAACGTATATGAACAGGTCCCAGTCCGAGAAAAGGATGGAAGGATCCTGTTCATATGGACCTGTCGTCAGACAGAACACTAAATAAATAAATAAACTAACACGTCCTGGATTTCAATGTCTTTGTACAGCGTGTACGAATAACTTGGAACCCGCTGTAACAGCCGGACAACGATTGGGAAATGAGTTTACTCTCAACGCGAAACACAGCTGATGGGTTCCAACGTAGGACATTCTGTACAATTTTTCTCTCTGATTCTTTCTTCTATACATTCCTATCAGTTACTATGGAAACTTCATTTAGTGGACATGTTATTTTCTTATGTCGAAGTGTGACATTGGTTTATCGCAAGGTATGGTTCGCTCACTTAGCTTCATCATCATTAGCTGCTCATTACTGTACGAGTAATACTGAACAATTTATTCTCGGTTCAACGAGACGAACAGAAACGTTCAATTCTGGTGTCGCATCGCGAGTGTCGTATTTGAGCACGCAGATTAAAAGATATTTCATTTAGAATAAAGTTGCAACTGCACTTAAAATTCAGAAAAAATTATTCAGTAGTTTCTTTTACAGAAAAACTCGATTATGATATAAATTT